AATCGATTTGCACCCAAGGTAAGGGATCATTATACGTATGCGTTCCATCTTTCGGCTAAATGGTTTTGGCTACTGTCCAAGCTTGCCAGACGTTTTAGACAGAACGTTTGTTTGACCTTCATTTGACCGAATAGGGTTCAAGGTGATGGCTCTGAGTTTTCTTCGGGGTGTTCGGTCACAGTCACCTCTTCTCCGTCAGACGTCTTGGACATAATAACACTTTAGATACCTCATTACTTTGAAAATTAGTATTATTGTCATGGTGTGTTCATGAGGCAAATAAATAGCACGATAGCGGAGTTTTCTCGGTGGACTCAGATACAGTCATCTGTTCTCTGACGGTTTCTCCTCAGCACCACCGAGAGATGCCTCAGCCCTCATGGAGGACAGGAAAACAGCTAAAAATAATTTGCTTCTTGGCTGTTTAGCTATCGAGTGATGGTCAGTACATGACATTGTGAAGGAAACCTACGGCAATCTGATAATCACAGTGGATCTGATTCGCGATGCTCAGCGGCAAATGATGATGCCGACAAACCAAAAACAAAGTTTGTGCTCATTTACGTACTTTCTTGGATTCACCGTTCAGGAGACCGATTGGCCTTAGCTTTGCGTTAGGAATACAGCCTCGAACTTTTGGTCAACAAACGTCAAATATGAATAATATGAAGTGTTTGTGTAAACTCAGGGTGGGCGGTAGTTTGTGACTTTGCTCCGACCTTACCGCTGCTTTCATACTATATTAAACTAAACATGATATTAAACTGCCTTGGAAGAGTAGAACATCAGCTAATTGGCAGAGGGCTGACAAATCACTGATCCTATCACTCATTAATCAACAAGAGTCTCGTCAGCATTGAATGAGATCAACGAGCTTGTGATGATCATGTAGATAAGCGAGGATGCTCCTCCATGAGATGTTCTTATTCAGCAGTGATCACTGCATGAATACACCCTTGACATCATTGTAGGCTTCGATAGATACAACTTTTTCAAAAGCGAGGTCGAGAAAGTATCTTGGATCTGTTGTGACTAGTAAACCTGTTGCTCGCCTATTCTGAACCGTTTTTCCAAAGACGTCTACAATACCTGGTTATTATTTAAGGTAAAAAATGCTAGAAGCTTGAACGGTTATAATTTTAAAAATTTTTGCGCATTTCTAAATAATTGCGAATTTTCGGTGTGCTGATTACAACGCGAGTTTCATAAACTGATCAACTTTAATTAATTATTGAAGTATAACAAATGTTTTTATTTCAGCAATAGTGCCGAAACAGAAAACTCAGTTCAGCTTGGTTCTCGAGGCAGATTACACCAGTAATTCCGTTCAACTGCTGTACACTGGAACGTTTGCCGCATTTTGTCAACGACATCGAAAGCAGCATGTTTTTTGCAGTCATGGACGCAGTTGCTGGGAGCACAGCGCTTTCAGAGCTGCCGGAGTCGCGGTAGAGTTAGTGCCGTCAGGACGTCAAATCAGTGCACCGGAATTCGTTCCCTTACTAGCTTCATCCCACCATTGTTTAACGTCCATCGTGGGAATGGACACGGTTCTAGCCGGTATCGAAGGGGGTACGGTCATTTCAGAACTGGTCACCGTTACGGCAACGCTGGCCGAAACTTTCGTTTCTGTCACAAGGTCTTTGTTGCTTTCCTGAAGTTGCAGAACGGTTTTCGGAGCTAAAGCAAGTTATTAGCAAAATGAATAAAACATGGATCGAGTCATCTGAATGTACAATAAAAAACGTTAAAGAAAAATTCAGAAAATGACCTTATTTAAAAAAATGCAAAGAAAGGATGCTTTTGAACATGGTTCAGTGATTATTCGAAACACAACCGAGTCATTTTCCTAGTAAATAAAATAATTAGAAATGAATTTATGAAAAGTTGGTGCGAAAATATATTGGTACCGTAGTTTTGCACTGCCTTTTAGCTTCTGTGAGTAGCGGACCAATGTCATAACGCCGTATAACGTAATTTAATTCAATTAAACTTAATTATGCAGAGTAACAAATTTATCAGGGCGACACACCTCGACTGATGCTTTAGTCCTTATCTCACATGGCCCCTTCAAGGTGTAATCTGTTACTCTCGCTACCCTCAGTAGCCGCTGCAGTCATATGTGAATGGAATAAAACCACAACTGATAACATTGCTTGAACGAGGAGCGAGAAGCAGGGAACAAAACGAAAGAGGTGACTGATCGGCGTGATAGATATACAGTGTTTTGACCTCAAACAAATCTGGATCACGCTTAACCTCTCCAGTATGCGACT